TTAATTACTAAGTTACGGATATTATAACTAAACGTAATGGAATTATTAGAATACAAAACACGAGTATGAACACGTGCTAGCCTATAATCACGCTTTCGCCTAAAATTTTATCGAATTACGAAAGAAACATATTCATTTTCATTTTTCTCTCTGTTTGGTCCTTTTCTCTTTCTTTTTTTCTTTTTTTTTTTTTTTTTTTTTTGCTACTCGTGTACATATATGTACATATTTAGGCTTGCATCTACGATCCAGCATTTTTATTACGCAATGCGCAAGAAAGATAAAAGAAAGAGAGAGAGAGAGAAATAGCTTAATTACGAATGTACCTTCAGAATGCATCATTGCTAATTACCCTACTATGTCGGTAATCTCTTTTTAAAAGTTTCTTTTTCTTTTTTTTTTTTTCTTTCACGCTACATTAGACAACTACGTTTCTTCATGATGGCCATCGTTAAAAGAAAAAAGAAGAGAAAGAAGAATTAACAAGAGAGAGAGAAAGAGAGAGAGAGAGAGAGAGAGAGAGAAAACGAAACTTGATTTCCCTCATAATTAAAGTACCATGCGCTTTTGCACACATATTTAACTATTTTTTTCTTTTTTCTCATTTTGTTTCTCATATCCCACGTCCTCCTCATATCTTTTGTCCTTATTCTCCTTCTCATCTTCCTTATTCTTTCTTACCTTTTCATTTTTTTCTTATAAAAAAAAAAAAAACCATATTCTCCTCATTTATATATATATATAAGTACACAAGTTCGCATCTGCGCATGCGTATACATACTGAATCCATATACGTATGTATCTATATATATATATATATATATATATATATATATAGAGAGAGAGAGAGAGAGAGAGAGAATTTATGTATAAAGACAAAGTTGTGTACAGGGCATGAGGGTGAAAAGCAGCAGAACTTTTTTTCCGTACAAACGGGCTAACAAGTTTCGCTTAATGACGAGTTCTACGTGAGATAATGAGAAAGAGAGAGAATGATGAGGAAGGAAAAGGGATCGATGAGCGGAAGCTGAGCGAAGAATGCTCTCCCGTTATATTGATTAAAGGAAGCTCTGCTTCGATCGGTCCCTGATAATTCAACCTGGATGATGATGTATTCTTTCATCGATTAAACACGATACACCAGTAAGCTAGAGTTAACAATACCAAACACACACACACACACACACACACATACACATATATATGCATAAATATATACATAAGTAGATACATATATTTATATACATAATACTCATAG